GTCATGTGAAAACCAGCTATTGTGCTAAGGAAGGGATTGCGTTGCGTCACATCCCGATCGATTGCAATTGACATTACTTACACGCGCATTACTGATCAAGTAAAACATATGTGGGACACTTGAGAATGCTTTGAACCGGCATCGAGAGACAGTTCTCAAGAAGGGATAACCTCTCTTCAGTTGCGCAATATTCTTGCTACATGCTTGCATGTCTCGACTTATTCTCACGTTTTGATCGGGATGAGAGCACAATCAAAGCCAAAACATAAAAACTTCTAATATTTCGGTGGGCCTCTTGCCAATTTAGCCAGAAGGGTTTAAATTCTCCCGCAGCTTATCTCATAAGTGCTATATTTTTATTCCAAACCTGTTCTTCAATGGGCAAGAGCAATACACCTTTACATCTACTGTGATTCTACGAAGAAGCATTGAAAGAGGTTATTTTTTTCTTGAAATTTAGTAAACTTAATTCTCTGTCAACAAATGTTTTTGAGAAAAAAAAAAAAGATTATTTATATGCAGTCTTAATGTAAGAATTGATACAGAAGCAAACCGCCTATTTTCCCGCCGGTCTAATTTACTCAGTGAAAGTGCCAGGAATGGTTTGCCCAAAAAGGGCCAACTTCTCTTATTGTGCAATATTCTTACCACATGTATCCAGTCATGTCTTGGCTCATTGCCACGTTTTGATTTGGATCGAGAAAAACAATCAAAGTCAAAATATATTCAGTGGGCCTCTTGCGGCTTTCAAAGAAAGGCTAAATTTTTCCTGCAGGTTTTCATTGCATTAGTGCTCAATACTTATCCCATACCCTTCCTTTAACTGCAAGTCCAAACACCTTTGCTTTCAAAGGGACATTAAGGGGTTAATCTTTCTCATTTAAAACTAAATTAAGTTCCAAACTTTGCCAAGAAATATTTTTTTTTTGTGAAAAATGATTATATGCGGTCTTTTAATGATAATAATATCTTTATTCATTTGCTAAAAATACATATCAAGTATTACAACTGATAAAAAATAAAACCAATCCTTTTTTTTGTAATGACTAATATAGAACCAAAGTAAACTGCCTATTTTCCCCGCGGACTAATTGGCCTAGTGGAAGTGCCAGGGACATGACACGCTATTTGGGTATCAGCTGACATTGAATACGCATAAACTTTGCCGCTTTGGAGGAGCCATTCAGCTTTCGTAGTAATTAGCATGAAACACTGTTATTAATCTTGTCTTATACAATATGGCAAATCATTTAGCTACCCTTGGGCCATTTTAACTTCGTAGAATTTGCCAGTAGAAAAGGTGATAGCAAATTTAAGATCTATGTACGCGTAGCGGACCTGTATAGTACAATCGTTTCTCACATTCTTTTGAGAACACGTTTTCACGTAGACTTTTCTCGAAGCTTTAAACTTTGCGACAACACTACATTAATTCATCGACATATTGAGTGATTCAATCGTGTCTTAGAGGAAACAAAGAGAACCGTTATATAACTCTTTAATTACCTTACACCTGGAGATTCTTATAAGTTTTAAATTATTTGTTAATCCAATTTCAGCAGTATCTAGGGGAAAAATCTGAGTCTTTTTATGTATTCTTAGTGCTATTCCGACTCAAAAATATAGTCTTTTAATTACTCAGTGATTGCAAAGACAAAAAAACACACACGCAAAACTGTCGGAAATTATGCGGAGTACTATTATATCATTTGTTGCTTTAGTTGTAGTTGACGTGATTTAAGCTTTGTCTTGATTATAAGCAAGGTGATTTGAGAAAGACAAGGCGTGGGAATCTGATAGCCTTGAACTTTGGAACCTTGTAATTGAAACCCAAACCAAATGATTGACAATGATAGGAGAGACAATAGAACACGAGAATAAATGGAATAAGGGGCTTTAGTAATCTTGAGCTTGGGAGAGGGATCTTGGAAGTGATCAATAAAGTAGAAGAAATCAGGATTTCGCGTCAGTGTGTTGATGGTTCAATCTTGGAGGCAATTCCCATCAAAACCTACCGAAAAATAAGAACCGGAAAAATGCAAAAAAAAAAAAAAGAAAAAGAAAAAAAAAATACAAGGAAACAGTGATCAGTGAAAGACAGGTTCAGCATTCACCAAATATATTCCGTCAAATGAGAGGGAAAATCAGAGAGCTTTGCGGGTATTCGTAAGAGACTAGTGCTGTGCTGTGTAAACAAACATGGCGTTGCGGAGATAACATTTCTGTGATAGTCCCTGAGTCCGGAGGGTACTCCCAGAAAATTGGGTGGTGGTGTGCGGCCCACTTCCCAAAACTCTTGCCCTATTTATGACCAAAATCTTCGATATTCCCTACCTTATTTAAGACCTGACCAAAAATTTGAAACCCTATTTATGACCTGACCCTTAAATCAAAACCGTGTTTCAGACCTGCGTTAAAATTAGTTCCTTAGTTCAGACCAATGTTAAATTACCGTAAACATAATTTGTGAAGAGCTTTTGTTGATTTTTTATCGTTAATGATGAAAAAGTGGCTTCTTCTTAAAATCATACCCATATCAAGGCTAGAGTGCTACATCCATACCCTATTTATGACCAAAGTGACCAAATCAGTTAAAATCGATACCCTATTTATGACCAAAACGACTGCTGAAAAACCATACCCTTTGGGGCCGCACATACCTATATAGCCCGTATGAGGGAGCACCCTCCGGGCCCTGAATGAATTTCGTTGTCTGAGAAGACTTCAACACTGCACCGTGTTTAGAGGGACACAAGTGTATGCTAAAACAGAGGCCGTCATGAAAGTAAACTATTAGTTTAGCTGTTGTAAAGGTAGTTTACATTTTCCGGCAAACATAACACATGATCACCATCAGCTGACCAAGACAAGACACACAAACTTGAGTGGGCCGAAGCGTTTGGTTCTCACATGCTTCAGTTCTCTCACGTTAAATAAAGAATCTGAATCTAATACGGCTCTGAGTTGAAGAAATGTTTGCGGAAGATCCCAAAGATTTTTCATGCAAGCTCGGGGTAAAGGTTGAGTTTAATGAGTGGGTTTAAAGCCAGGCGATTGAGGGGCAAATTAAAGTTGGCAAAGTAGCCACTAGTCTGTGAATTTTTAGTTCTTATATTTCTATAAATCGTTTTCAATAGAATTCAGTTCTGCCGGGGCTTTAAAGAAAAAATGAAATCAAGTTTTAACTAATATGCCGACAACGCTCCCAAGGCTAAAATTTGCCGGATATAAAATTTAATTTTTGTTCATGCATTGTGGAAAGTGATCATACACACGTGGATTATGAATTACGAAAATCAAACTTTACTGGAAATACAGCATCGATATTAGTGCCACTGATCCTTTGTAATAACCCCGATCAGGTAGGTGTCTGTGCGCATAAAATTAGAATAGAAGTGATTTTCCACGTACAGCCTATCTTGTTTTTCAAAACTTGCCTCAAGAAACTTAGCCCCCTAGATTGGCGTTCTTCAATTTCTTGCCAGAGACATAATGACAAGAAGTCTCTAGATAGCTGCTTTCATTTTTTGAGAGAGAGAGAGAGAGAGAGAGAGAGAGAGAGAGAGAGAGAACAGAAATTGATTACCTGAATTGTTTTGTGGCAAGGTTTACTGAAACAGAAAACTAAGCTTCGGACCTGGGCCAGTGAAGACACCAATGTAGCACAGCTGCAGTTGTTTTTTTTTGTTTTTTTTGAGAACCGTATTGTGTATCCTTTAAGAAAAACTTGCTCTGGGTTTCATGGTAATATTTGGATATTTTGAGAAATATTGCGTATCCTGAGGGAAAAACTTACGACTGGGCGGTTTTTTGATACCATGATTGTAGCATCAAGTGATAAGGAGTGGATATAACGACCCATCAAAATCTAAGTGCTGGAAACTGTTTTGAGCCACCTTAAACAGCTCGGATGTACATACAGGCAATGCTGTCAGTGTTTGTTTCTTTTCAGTGCGAATACGACAGAAAGTTGTAAATTCACACAGAAAGTTCACTTCACACTGTGGAATGACTTGTGAAACGTGCGATGAATATTTATTCCGTTCTTGCGTGAGTGGGCAGAATTTCAAGAACTGGCTTTAGTTATCAGTCAATCTTTTTGTTCGTTTGAATATGAGTAATACGTCCAATTGTTCACGTGTGATTTACTTGCATAATGCCCTTTCTTGTCACGAGAAGAGGAATTTTTGCGCTTTAATCCGCGGCAGTTTGATTCCTCGAGCAAACTTTCATTGTTTTTCTTTTGTTTGCCTTTGGAGGTTGTGGTCAAGTGCTAACATATTCAGTCTTCCTTTGGGGGTAGATCTTCCGAAGATAATTGGCTGAAGATAACAATAATTCCATATAATGTCACGCTAGCAGAGGGAACCACAGAAGAAATTTGTTGACACTCCACAAAGTTATTATTATTAGAGAATTCGTGCGAACCTGGTGTAAATTTGCGCCATTTACCCGGGATGAAAAGCAAACAGGATACAAATTATTGTCTTGGACAGATAGTGTTCAGTTGCACTAAATTAAGACCGTGGCGATTTTGACGATGGCTAATAAAAGACTCTAAATTCCTTCCTGAATTAGCATTGTACTGATCTGTCAATACGGAGACGGTGTCAATTAGGCTGTCACATTTCCTGTCCGTTGGACGCCCTGTAGTGTAATGTTAATTCCCGGGGGACTTAATCAACTTCTTTCTGGTCGTTCATCACATGAGTTGAATTTCTAGAATGGGTGAAGGGCATGTAATAATGCTTGGGTCACCGTCTTTACCTTTTCAAATGTGTCGCATTCCTGCGATTTATTAGTTAACAATTTAACATATCTGTGATGAAGTTGTTCGATGAATTGACCATTAATCGGTAAGGACATTTCCTGGCTAAACAAATCACAAACGACTAATTACTAATTAATCACTAAACCGGCGATTCCTACCTTTTATCATTCTGCGCTAATGTTTTCTCTGCCGCTTCTTCTTAACCAGGTAAAGAGCATGTGGATTGAGCACAGAATGCAGTTTTTCTCTGGACTTGTGGCATTGCTCATTTTATTTTGCGGTTCTGTGAATGTCTGTCATGGAACTCTCAAAGAAATTCCGAACAACAACACACAAACTTTCCGAAGTTTTGGCGACGATCGAGGGCGGCAGGGACGTCCTAATTCGGCAGTCGTGGACGTTGTTCCCACGTATTCACTGGAATATCGCTCGCCTAACAAGAAAGACATAAAATTCACAAGTGGAGGAATATATCAAGCAACTATTCTCGAAACAACTCATTTAGGGACGCGAGTTAAATGCGACTTAAAAATGGGTGTTTATGCCCACGAGGAAGAGAGCGAGGTTCAGTTTATCATAACCAAGGGGAATGAAGGTGGCACATTCACAGTGAGCGCGAGGCGAATCAAATCAGTGAAGGATTTCGTGTTCATGGATATTGAAACCAATAAAAGACTCAATCGTGAAAGCGTACGAGGAGGAAATTATTTGTTAACTGTTGAGGCTCAGGATCCAAGGACTTTAGCAGTTTTGGACACGACTGAGCTAAATGTGAGCGTTACAGACTTGAATGACAACAGACCCATATTTTCTCGCTCTTTTCAACACGTCACCATAGACGATGACATTCCTTTACACACATCTATCGCACAAGTGGCTGCCACAGATGCCGACACTGGCCCGAATGGATGGCTCTATTTTTTCTTCAGCGAAAAATCTTCTTTCTTTGCTATAGACCCTGTGTCTGGAGTAGTGACTGTAACGCGGACGTTGGCAGGCAAGAAAAGAAGAAGATACGAATTACACGTGATCGCGAAGGATCGTGATCAAAGTTAAGTCACAGCATGGAACGATTACTGAAGGAAAGACGGGTATTCGTATCGCCGTAATTCGCGTTTCCGACCAAGATAACGCAAACAGCGACGACATCGACAAGGTCCTAATTACATCAGGAAACGAAATTAGCAACTTTCGAGTAAAGCGCTCACAGGATGCGTTGGATGAGTACCTAATCGAGGTTGTAAAACCACTGGATCGCGAGAAAGCTCCTGACGGTTTTGATCTGGTTTTGACGGCCTTTGATAAGGGTGTCCCGCCGCGCAATGGCACGGTCTCGTTACATGTTTTGACTGAGGTTGCCAATGACATGACACCAGCATTCAATCAAAGCGCATACGCAGTCACGATTTCCGAACTGGCGCCCCCTCACTCCTCTCTGATGCACGTGTTTGCAGAGAATGGCGACTCTGGTGAGAATGGCAGGGTCTATTACTTTTTGTCAGGAGGGGACAGTGACAAATTAATGATTGACCATGACACAGGTTTGATAACTACCAATAAATACCTGGACTATGAAACAAAACCTCGCCTGGAATTTGAAGTGCGATCTTTTGATGCTGCAGCTGTTGGCGGAAAGATGGCAAGTGTGAAAGTTTCAGTCGATATTGAGGATGCTAATGATAATGACCCAGTGTTCGACCAGCCTTCTTACTCCATAGAGATTTATGAAGACTTGACACCCGGGACAAAATTACTAACTTTGAGAGCGCATGACGAAGACTCTTGCCAGAATGGGCAGATCCAGTACACGATCATAAACATAGAATCAGTCCCTTTTGCCATCGATTCTGAGACTGGAGAAATTACTGCACTGACCACACTCGACAGAGATTCAGGGCTCCAAGAGTACATTACTTTAAGGGTGCGCGCATCAGACTTTGGAAAACCATTCCGAAGGGAATCTGAAACCTATGTACATATCCGTATCAAAGTATTTAATGATAATGAGCCCGTGTTTGAATGCTCCATGTGCAAAATACAAGTAAATGAAGATGCACCTGTTGGAACTATTTTAGCTACTCTGACAGCTGTGGACGTTGATGTGGCAGCAACTTCTCCGCTTGTCTATTACATACAAACAGCTGGAAATGAAGATCACACTTTTAAGATAGATCCCACAAGTGGGTTGTTAAAAACTGACAAATCTCTTCAAGGTGGTAAGCAGGAGTTTATTCTTTACATCCTGGTTACTGACCCAATTAACGTTGCCGCGGTAAGACTTGAGATCAAAGTTGTTTCAAAACAAGCTGCTGCTGGATTTTCCAATTATGTTAAAGCCCAATGCCAGGTTAGTGCAGAGCATGCAAAGGCTGTAGAACAAATGAAAGAACGAGGAAAAATTAAGTCTTCCCAAGCTTCTAATGATAAAGCACTACCTGGGCCAGCTAATACTAACTTTCCAGAATTTGTGCCAGTTGAGCCTGTAATTGATGTCAGTGAAGATGTGGCTGTTGGATCAAGGATCGCAAAACTGTCCGCTAATGATAAAGATCAAGGCTTTAATGGAATGGTTTTGTACGCCATAGTCAGTGGTAATAGTGGAAGCTCGTTCAAAATAGATATGTACACTGGAGAGCTTTGTAGCGGATCATTACTAGACAGAGAAAAAATTACAAATTACACATTGAACATAACTGCCTCTGACTGTGGATCTCCAGTCACAAAAACATCCTTTACGATAGTCTATATAAATGTTTTGGATGTCAACGATAATTTGCCAATCTTCAAGAACGACTCATACGAGGTTACTTTGCCTGAGAACATTACAATTGGTCAAACTGTTGTGTTCTTGAAGGCAACAGACTTGGATGATGGGGATAATGGCAGAGTTCGCTATCAACTTGTGAATGACTTTGGTGGTAAATTCAGGATAGATTCCAAATCAGGTCGACTCTCAGTGGCGTCAGCACTTGATTATGAAGATCGCCCAGAATATGTCATCAAGGTGCAAGCATTTGATAACTCCAAAACATCGCAGAAGATCACATCTGCCAAAGTCTTTCTAAATCTGATTGACATTAACGATAACGCACCTGCTGTTGTCCCAAAGAGTTTTAATGTGTCCATTCCAGAAGACATTCCATTCAAAAGCGTCGTAGCAGCAGTTTCTGCTCAAGATCCAGATACAGGTTTAGGTGGAGAAATTGAATTTTCCTTGGTGGGAAGGCCGAAGAAATTCAAGATCGATCCTGGAAGTGGTGTTATACGATTGCGTCGTCGAGTTGACTATGAACAGCAAGATGTTTACAACTTGACTGTTAAGATCAGCGACAAAGGAACGCCAGTTCTTACATCATATGCGAATGTAATCATTACCATTCTTGATGTAAATGAGAATAATGTTGCACCCAAGTTTAGTGGAGGAGACCTTCTGGAAGCCACTGTGTATGAGAACCAACCGGCGATGACCACTGTTATGCGTTTGAAAGCATCAGATGGCGACTCATGGTATATAAAGTATGCAATCATTGATGGAACAGGTGTTGACAAGTTTAGAGTAGATCCTGAAACTGCTGTCATCACAACCACTCAAGTCCTCCGTCGTGAAGAAGGTGATCACTACTGGCTTCATGTTCAGGCTAAAGATGGCGAGATGTATCCACTGCACACAAATGTTCCAATGTTGATCAAGGTACTGGCAGCTAATGATGACCCTCCCTACTTTAATCCTCCTGTTTATTACCCTTCAGTTAAAGAAAATGCTAAAGAAGGGGAGACTGTAGTTACCATCCAAGCTCACAATCCAAGTTCTGATGATTCTAGCTTGATGTACTCAATTACACAGGGAAATGAAGCTGGCAAGTTTGCTATTGATGTAAAGACTGGCCTCATTATAACCACTGCGGCTCTTGATCGAGAAGAGCAAGACTTCTATGAACTAACAGTTACTGTGTCTGATGGGAGCACTCCACCACAGACTGCGAGCATCACTTTTCCGGTCACAGTTACAGATGCAAATGACAATGATCCTATATTTTTGAAAACCAGTTATTTTGCTGTTGTCAAGGAGCAGAGTGCCTCCTTAACTCCTGTTGAAATCTTTAGAGTAGTAGCAATGGACAATGACATTGGCACCAATGCAGAACTTATTTACGGAATCCAGCTGCTAACAGAAAATAATGCTGGAAAAGTCACGATAAACCCTAAAACTGGTGTAATCTCTACAAGGCAGGCCTGGGTAGAAGGAGATTATATAGATTTTGAAGTCAATGTTACTGATGGTGGAACTCTTCAGAGGTCTGTTTCAGTGTACGTTAGTTTGGATTGTGAAGCAAAGAATTACCCAACATCAAACCCACCAGAGTTTGATAAGAAAAGTTACAAAGAGTCCCTTGAAGAAGATGCTGCTGTTGGAACAACTGTTGTAGTAGTTTCTGCATTTGACCTTGATGATGGTGATGTTCTGACTTATTCCATCAGTGCGGGAAACACTGGGAACAAATTCCAAATCGATAGTGATTTGGGTGAGGTTACACTTGTCGGAAAGCTTGATCGTGAGGAAGTGAGTTCCTTTATCCTGACCATCCAGGTGTCTGATGATTACAATGTTGACGAGGCAACTTTGATTATAAATATCCTGGATGTGAATGACAATTCACCACAGCCTGTCATGACAGAGTACCAAGCCCATATCTCTGAGGATGCTAAGCCTGGGACTTTACTGACCAAAGTTCAAGGTAAGGTTGATTAGCATGTTATTTCTCCCTACAATACTTACATTGTCAAGTAGGTAAATTAGGACAAAAGAGGAAATCATCAACTACACATTTATTTATTGTGTTGATGCAAATCGAAATTCTCAAAGCTGACATTCAAGAATGCACAGGAATGTGAATGGTCCGAACTGATGCTCAAAATTTGGTTCAGTAAAAGAGTTGATGACTGTTTCAATATTAATAATGGGAAATAGCTACAATCTTGGACAATTTAAGTGAAGAATTAAGACCAGCCCTCCCCCCATTTCAGATTGCACATTTTGGGTTTAGTGCCAGTTCATCATAGATTAAAAGGGAGGTGTCGTTTTATTTTTTATTTTCTTCTGACTGAGATGGTACTCTTGGACAATTTAAGTGAAAAATTAAGACCACCCCTCCCCCCATTTCAGTGATGGAAAAATTGCACATTTTGGGTTTAGCACCAGTTCATGATAGATTAGGTGGAGAAGTGGTTTCATTTCGTACTTTGTTCTGACCAAGGTTGTAGATGGATGTTATCATTTGAAGTCAGCACTCTCCTGAAAACCAGACTTGTCTGCTACATTGTATCTTGGTAAACAAATTAAGCCACCGAGGGTGTCACATTTGACTTAATGTCTTACAAACAATTTTAAACACCAGCAAAAAAGTAAGCATTCTTTTTTAAAAATTCTTTCTGTAACAAATTTGAGTCAGTTAGTCATTAGAACTAATAACCAAATTTTCCTAAGGTGGATACAAAACAATTTATAAAAGATAGTACAGAGAGTTAAATTTTGATCTCAATATTGTTTACAGCAATTGATCCAGACGAGGGCGTCAATGGAGCAGTAAACTATGCCATTGTTGGTTCAGTGAAACAGAAATCCCGATCACTGTTCAAGATACAAAGTTCCACAGGCAGAATAAAGACTATCAAGGCTTTGGACCATGAAGATATGAAGGAGCATACCCTGATAATCAAAGCCACAGACCAGGGGGAACCCAAGAGAGAAAGTCTCTTTTCTATCGTAATTGCTGTTGATGACGTCAATGACCACAAACCAGTCTTCCTGAGATCGGAGTTTAAGGCTGAAGTCCATGTTGATGCTTCTCTAGGCACATCCATCCTTAAAGTGTTTGCTGTAGATGGTGATGATGGTACAAATGCTGTACTGAAGTTTTCCATGAAGGGCGGTAACACAAATGATGCATTCTATATTGATCAGAATTCTGGGGTTATTCAAGTGGCCGCAAAATTAAGCAGCAGCATTAAAAAGTATTATCTTCAAGTGCAGGTGTCAGACAGCGGAACCCCAGCTGAGACTGCAGAAACTGAAGTACAGGTAAGCCAACAATGCTTTTGAGTGATGCTGATGCTACTGATCCAGAATAAGTTATTGATGTAAAGTTATTTAATATCAGTCCTTCTCACTGAAGGTGCGGCTGCCTCATGGTTAGTGTGTTTGCCTCCTGCTCAGGCTGTCCGGGTTTGAGCCCTGGCCAGAGACATTGTCTTGTGTTCTTGGGCAAGACAATTTACTCTCACATTGCCTCTCTCCATACAGGTGTATAAATGGGTAGCGGCAAATTTAATGCTGTGGTGGTAGAAATACTCCCTAGTCCCTTAATGCTCCTGAAACCAGGGATAAGTGCCAGACTGATGGGCCACTCTACCTTACCTGACCTTCTCAGTTCTGAGCAACAGTTTGGCAACAGAGACATTAGTGACATTAGTTCCCTATTACTGGTGGAGTAATATGATCAGTTCTTTGATTAGGAGCTTATGACAATGAAAACTGTAATTTCACCAATTTTAGTCCACTGGCCAGTAAGTGTGAGATTCTAAGGAAGTTTGATGTTTGGAAGAGGTTCCTCTCCCCTACATGTAACTGCTTTCTTATGACAAAGCTCAAGTTATAAATTCTCCTAACTAATATTATAAGTACTGCCATTTAACTTCGTGTAGTTCTGAGCGTTTGAAAACAAATCAGCAGGATTTTCTAATATCCGTTTTGTTGAATGTAGCAGTTTGATTTTTAATCCCCATCACTCAGAACTGATCAGAACTAATCTTTTAAGGGGAAAGCGATATCTCCTAAGAAATAAAGGATTAACTAAAAACGTTTGGCTGAATTTTTCAGTTTAAAATTAGTACGATTTTGTAGTGTTACGTAATGTTTTTCTAAACTTAATTTTTTCTCCTTTAAATTCCTTATAGATTTTGGTGAGAGGGATAAAGAAGCCAGTTATGTTTGGACGTCCGTTGTACCAAGCTTCGATTGTAGAAAATATTCGTCCTGGTCATGCCATTATCAACGTTGTGTTCAATGGCACTATGGCTTCTTATGAGCTTATTCCACAGGATAATGCCTGTTGGAAGGATTTTCATGTCAACAGAAAATCTGGATTGGTGACGAACAAGGTTAGAATTCACCCTTGCTATTTATAAAATCAAAGCTTTGCAATAAAATCTGGAGGTATTTCTATCATGCTGGGAGCATTACCAAACTGTTCAAAACACAAGAAAGGATGTTACAGTACTTTATAGTTTCTGTATTTTTCTCGCGGAAGTTGGGGCGGGAAACTGTTTGATTAGTTGTTTATTCAAAAAAAAAAAAAAAANAAAGAAGGGGAGACTGTAGTTACCATCCAAGCTCACAATCCAAGTTCTGATGATTCTAGCTTGATGTACTCAATTACACAGGGAAATGAAGCTGGCAAGTTTGCTATTGATGTAAAGACTGGCCTCATTATAACCACTGCGGCTCTTGATCGAGAAGAGCAAGACTTCTATGAACTAACAGTTACTGTGTCTGATGGGAGCACTCCACCACAGACTGCGAGCATCACTTTTCCGGTCACAGTTACAGATGCAAATGACAATGATCCTATATTTTTGAAAACCAGTTATTTTGCTGTTGTCAAGGAGCAGAGTGCCTCCTTAACTCCTGTTGAAATCTTTAGAGTAGTAGCAATGGACAATGACATTGGCACCAATGCAGAACTTATTTACGGAATCCAGCTGCTAACAGAAAATAATGCTGGAAAAGTCACGATAAACCCTAAAACTGGTGTAATCTCTACAAGGCAGGCCTGGGTAGAAGGAGATTATATAGATTTTGAAGTCAATGTTACTGATGGTGGAACTCTTCAGAGGTCTGTTTCAGTGTACGTTAGTTTGGATTGTGAAGCAAAGAATTACCCAACATCAAACCCACCAGAGTTTGATAAGAAAAGTTACAAAGAGTCCCTTGAAGAAGATGCTGCTGTTGGAACAACTGTTGTAGTAGTTTCTGCATTTGACCTTGATGATGGTGATGTTCTGACTTATTCCATCAGTGCGGGAAACACTGGGAACAAATTCCAAATCGATAGTGATTTGGGTGAGGTTACACTTGTCGGAAAGCTTGATCGTGAGGAAGTGAGTTCCTTTATCCTGACCATCCAGGTGTCTGATGATTACAATGTTGACGAGGCAACTTTGATTATAAATATCCTGGATGTGAATGACAATTCACCACAGCCTGTCATGACAGAGTACCAAGCCCATATCTCTGAGGATGCTAAGCCTGGGACTTTACTAACCAAAGTTCAAGGTAAGGTTGATTAGCATGTTATTTCTCCCTACAATACTTACCATTGTCAGGTAGACAAATTAGGGGAAAATATGAGATCATCAACCACGCATTTATTTATTGTGTTGATGCAAATCCAAATTCTCAAAGCTGACATTCGAGAATGCACAGGAATGTGAATGGTCAGAACTGATGCTCAAAATCTGGTTCAGTAAAAGAGTTCATGACTGTTTCAATACTAATAAAGGGAAATAGCTACAATCTTGGACAATTTAAGTGAAGACCTAAGACCACCCGTTCCCCATTTCAATGTTGGAAAAATTGCTCATTTTGGGTTTAGCGCCAGTTCATCATAGATTAGGGGAGAGGAGTGCTTTTATTTTTTATTTTCGTCTGACTAAGATTGTAATCTTGGGCAATTTAAGTGAAAAATTAAAACCACTTCAATGATGGAAAAATTGCACATTTTGGGTGATCATTTGAAGTCAGAACTCTCCTAAAAACCAGAGTTAATGTCGCCTATCTTGGTACACAAATTAAGCCACTGAGGGTGTAACATTTGACTGAATGTCTTACAATCAATTTTAAACACCAGCAAAAGAGTAAACTGTCTTTTTTAAAATATCTTTCTGTAACAAATTTGAGTCATTAGTTAAAACAACCAATAGCCAAATTCTCCTAAGGTGGATTCAAAACAATTTATAAAAGATAGTACAGAGAGTTTAAATTTTGATCTCAATATTATTTACAGCAATTGATCCAGATGAGGGTGTCAATGGAATAGTTAACTATACCATTGTTGGTTCAGTGAAACAGAAGTCCCGATCACTGTTCAAGATACAAAGTTCCACGGGCAGAATAAAGACTATCAAGGCTTTGGACCGTGAAGATATGAAGGAGCATACCCTGATAATCAAAGCCGCCGACTTGGGGGAACCCGAGAGGGAAAGTCTCTTTTCTGTCGTAATTGCTGTTGATGACGTCAATGATCACAAACCAGTGTTCCTGAGATCGGAAGTTAAAGCCGAAGTCCATGTCGATGCTTCTCTAGGTACGTCCATTCACAAAGTGTTTGCTGTAGATGGTGACGATGGTACAAATGCGCTTCTGAAGTTTTCTATGAAGGATGGTAACACAAATGATGCATTCTATATTGATCAGAATTCTGGGGTTATTCAAGTAGCCTCAAAATTAAGCAGCAGCATTGAAAAGTATTATCTTCAAGAGCAGGTGTCAGACAGCGGAACCCCAGCTGAGACTGCAGAAACTGAAGTACAGGTACGCCCTACATTGTGTTTGAGTGATGGTGATGCTACTGATCCAAAATAAGTTATTGAAGTAAAGTTTAGTAATGATAGTCCTTCTCGGTGGAGGCGGGGTAACCTTATGGTTAGTGCGCTTGTCTCCGGTTCAAGCTGCCCGGGTTACAGCCCTGACCAGAGACACTGCGTCGTGTTCTTGGGCAAGACATGTTACTCACATTGCCTCTCTATACCCAGGTGTATAAATGGGTACCGGGAAGTTTGATGCTGGGGGTAACCCTGTGATGGAGTAGCATCCCACCCAGTCGNGGGGGGGGTAGTAGAATAGTCGCTTCATGCTACTGAAACCAGGGATAAGCGCCAGTCTGGCTCTATGCAGATTTCACCTTACCTTACCTTCTCAGTTGTGAGCAGCAGTTTGGCAACAGGACTTTAGTGCCCTATTATTGCTGGAGTAATATGATCATTCCCAATGAAAACTGCAATTTGGCCAATTTTAGTCCACTGGCCAGTGTGAGACTCTAAGTTGGAAGAAATTCTTCTGCCATACATGTAACTGCTTTCTTATAAAAAAAAAAAGCTCAATTTACGAATTCTCCCAACTAATAAGGACTGTTATTCAACGTCATGTAGTTCTGAAGGTTTGAAAACAAATCAACAGGATTTTCTAATATTCGTTTTGTTGAATGTAGTAGTTTGATTGTTCTCTTTTGATCCCCACCACCCAGAACTGATCAGAACTTATCTTCTAAGAGGAAAGTGATATCTCTTAAGAAATAGAGGATTAACTAAAAAGTTTGACTGAATTTTTCAGTTAAAAATTATTATTATTTTGTAGTGTTACGTAGTGTCTTCCTAAACTTAATTACTTCTCCTTTAAATCCCTTATAGATTTTGGTGAGAGGGATAAAGAAGCCCGTTATGTTTGAACGTCCGACGTACCAAGCTTCGATTGTGGAAAATATTCGTCCTGGTCATGCCATTATCAACGTAGTGTTCAATGGTACTATGGCTTTTTATGAGCTTATTCCACAGGATAACGTCTGTTGGAAGAATTTTCATGTCAACGGGAAATCTGGGTTGTTGACAAACAAGGTTAGAATTTACACTTGCTATTTATAAAATGAAAGCTTTGCAATAAAATCTGGAGGTATTTCTATCATGCTGGGAGCATTACCAAGCTGTTAAAAACACAAAAAAGGGATGTTGCATTATAGTTTGTATTTATCACGCGGCAGTTGGGGCGGGAAAACTGTTTGAGTAGTTGTCTAATCAAAAAA